TAAACAAGGTATTTCATATACTCTATCACCTCTCTGTGAATATGGAAGTAAAATAGCTCCTGCTAATAAGCTAAAATTTAGTCTGGCTAATAGGAAGGAAGGTGAGACAGCTGATAACATCATTAGGCATGTTGAGCTCAAATACTAAACCACCATTACTGTAAAGCAAGTTACAGTTCCAAAAATCAGTGTGGATCTTGTATGCATTCAGCAGAACTGAAAGAACAATGAGTCTTAGTCATATTTATATATTAGTCTCAGAATGTAAGTATTCAATCAAGGTCAATACAGTGAAAAGACAGATTCACAGAACACTGAAGGTTCTGCTCAGCAGCATATTCTCTAGCTGACGGGACAACCATGGGCAGATCAAGCACTGACATTCTGATGAAAGGGTTACAGTTAATTTCAAGAACCCTCTAAAATAAGCTATTGTAAATGTTAAAAAGTTAGAAAGAGGCAAGGATTGTGTCATCTCCAAAGCTAGACTACAGGGATACTTTGTTCACTGAAACTTTAACTACATTGGCATGACTACAGAACTCGAAGGTCTTCATAAAATTATCTCATCACAGAAACCCAGACAACATCACCAGAAACACTGAGATAAGGTGTAGGAAATTTGGTAAAAACAGATTTCTAACAGACAACTTGGAGTTTCTGTGATGGACTGGATATGACATTATATATCCATAAGGTAACAGAAAAGGGCTTTAAGAATTTCCCGTAAGCCATTTTATCTGCTACTGATATGCAGACATCACTGTCACATAAAAGCTTAAGCTTTATTTGGCATAACATCATTAGAACTGCAGAACATACTTAGCACCGGAAATGAAACCAGACCAAAATAAGACTGCAAAAACATACCTAGGATTATGTCTTACTTGGCAGAGACTGTTGATCAGGCAGTAGACATTCTCTAGCACTACTCTAGGACTTCCTGAGCTAATGAAAAGCGTTTTTCCACAATGCCTAAGCAATAAGAAATCCTGGTCATCAGTTATAGATAGCAGGTCCAGAACGAAAAAAAACCCAACCAACACACAGCATTTTCAAGAGGAATTTGGTCACTGCTTGATTGCAAGACTGACATCTGTAACTATCCAAAACAAGTAGAGTGCTGAAGATGAACATAGCTCGTTCCATCTGGTTTCAGATTCACAAAGCAATCACTTAACTCAGTACAAAGGTAAGATTTTTTAATGCTAGAGGCTTGCTCTCTGTTGTCAAACAGTTTGACCCTGGCTCCCATATAGTAAGAATTCACCCACTTTGCACTGTCCTTGATGGCAAAGAGATCCATAAAACATCTTCCATTATTCACTTCAACATTTGTTGGATCATGTAGGAATGCACTGTATTGTACAACTTACCTGTTTGCAGGAGTGAGGAATATACCTTTTTTTTTCAGGGCAGCATAGGGTATTTGAAATCAGCAGAAAGCTTCATAGAGAGAAGACTTACTATATAAATCAGTTTGATAATTAACATAACTGAGAAAAATATATGAATAGTCTAATATGTTCTGATTACTAGATTCCTTGTATCCATAATGTTTTTAAATACATGTTCTTTAGTTTGCTCCTCATCACTAATATTTACATTCTTCACAGAGCCGAGATAACAAGGCAGGAATTTTAGTACTCAATATTTTGCACACAGCTATATTAGAAGTACTGATAAGTGAGTCAGAGCTCTCTACTGACATGTACAATGGGACAATCCCATAAACTGAACAGCCTCCCACTAACAGTTACAGTGATACCTGAAAACAGGCTTCTTACACAGTATCTTTGATTCAAAATTTATTGCCCCTTTGAAAAGCTGTCGTTTGTGGTTAACATTTTGCAGTTGACTAGAACACCTACTAAAGACAGGATGGCTATAATTTCATTGGCCAGAGAGTGTTAGACTAAGGCATTTTGTAAATAGCTTTGCTACTTTGGAAAATCCATAAAAGGGTATCTTTTGCTTAAATTAAGATCTGGTGTCATTAGATCCAGTTCTTAATTTTGGGCTGTATAGACACAGTGGCCCAGAAACATGTTCTCCTGAAAGTTAGTCCTAGATGTGCAAATCTGAAAGCAAACATCCTCCTGAGTTTCAGATGGTATGCTGAGAAAAAGCATTTAAATCTAAAATGTATAGGGAAATGAAAGACCATCCTTTAAGAAGACAGTTCTCTTGATCCTCAGTGGTACTTAAGTTCTCATCTTTAAAAGGCTGTCACCAGTATGGAGAATTCAGTGTAAACTCTTACTACTGTAATCTTTTATTTTCTTCTATTTTTCTGAGCATATACAGACATTGAGAGGCTGACTTCTAAATGTTAGCTCTGGTTTATGGCAATCCAGTCTTGAGAAAAAAATGCTCCTTGTTACTGTTCTGTTTTCCTGCTGCCAGAATAGATCTGTAACTATTGCTTTAGCTGACAGACCCATAAGTCCAAGACACCAGAACAATTATCCATTCAGCTGCTGAGCCATATTTACAGATTATTAATGTGAAACCTGTAATGCTGTCAGAACTCCAAGGAAGCAAATCTGTAAAAACCATACAGCATGCTGCATTGCAACCAACTATTAAAATATATGGTTTAATAAAAATTCTAGGATCCCTGCGAGCAAAACTGCACTGCTCTGATAATGCTACTCAACATATACTGCCAGTATTGTTTCCAGGACATGTTGACAAATACATGCAAGGCCTCCAGACTTATTACCAGCAAACAGTGATGTGATGGCTTCAAAATACAGCTACTACTTCAGAGGATGGCTAGAGAGGGGCAATGTAAGAAAGTTATGTCACAAATTTTCAAGCCTATTTCCTTTTCCTCAACACAAGTAAGCTGACTTGTAGGTAGAACTCAGAAAAGACCACTTGATCACTATTACCAGTGAAACTTTAGCAGTAAATAGAAAAGCAAATACACTATCTAGCATCTACAATTTAACACATAGGATTCTGCATCTCATAAACAGCAAAAGATATTCTGCAGTCATGAAAAATACACCTCCTGAAACAATGTCTTATTGTAGAATTTGTGCTTAAGGTTAATAACGACATAGGGAATAATATCTTGCTATTAAAATAAAACCTTAATTAGTGGGAAGAGGTCAGCAAGCTGTAACTATAGGGTCTTCCTGTCTCCTGCATTTTCTTTATAATCTATTCCTTGCTTCCAGTCTTTCAGTACCAGAAACTTTTAAACTATTTAACTTTAAATAAATACAGAATCCTTCCCAAGGAACAATCCTTCCACAAGATCAGAGGTAAGACTCCAGGTAACTCTAAAGTGATGAGATGCACCATATTTATAATTACCTTCTTCTGAAGCTGACAGAAAAGCTTATCACATCCTTCCTATTAATAATGCACCAGGAAGTTCTGGCACAAATACTAAGCTGTCACATGTGCCAGATATTCCTCTGCTGCAACCTGGGCACAGCACTGTGCCAGATCATGGCACAGATTACCTGACTATGGCACAATAGGCTTCTCTTCGTGAATCAGGTGCAGCTCAGGACTGCTCAGCCAGAACCTCCTCACACACCCAAGTAAGAGTAGGAAGAACTCAGTCATTTGCCAGAAACCCACCATTCCATTCCAAATTAAGATAGCATGCTATCAGTCTGCTAAGGACATATTGTCAATATATGACCTGGCCTTTCTCTCAAGGACATATTTTTTTTATTTTGTTAGAAAACATAGCATTTCCTTTTACTTTATGAAGGGCCAAGATTATTTCAGTTCTATCTTGTTGAAAGTTTCCTTTTCACTTTTCATTAATTTCTCTGGCATCAGGCAATGATGTTTCACCTTCAACATCAGGCTAAACAGGACTAAGGGGAGTTCATATCTCACCACCCAATATTGTGCACTCCCAATATAAAAAGCAAATATTTTCATTTTTTGTAAAATTTATTACAGCAAAATCTCTCCCACTGATATATTTAAACCAGGAGCATGGCTAATAGTATCACTGGCAAGTATCACGCTGCTCTTTGCTCATTAGCCAGATGGTACAACTAAAACATTTGTCCTGTTTACTGAAGGTGGCATAAAAAGGCAATTGAACACCAAAAGAACAGTAGCATCAAGTAATTACAGAAAGTAACCAAAACATATAGAGGCAGTGCTTGTCACTAAAAAGTTACTAAATATTTATTGAATACAATTCCCAATTTTGAATTCCATATTTAACTAGTTTTCAAAAGCAGTCAAGAAACAGGTATTTGGATTTCTCTTGGCATCAACTAGTTATTCACTGTCATTGTTGACTGCAAATTACATCTTATCCCATCCATGCCTTTATCTATGACAAAATGCTCCAGAAGATTTACAACGAGCCACTCATGCCTCGCAGTGCTGTGCTTTGTAATCTGCACTGCCCAATTCTGCACTGATTTAACTTTATACCTAGCAGAACCTCAAAAAGTCTGGGAACATACCTCAAGAGACTGCAGCCTCCTCTTCCAGGAAGTTATAATAAAGCCCAGCTATTACTTTAAAATAAGGAAGCTGACAAGACTTTATGCAAGTGCCCTGTTACCATTAAAATATGAACTAATTCCTTGGCTGAAAATAGTATGTATTAATCATCTTCACAGCACAATATAATGTTCATGTTCAATTTCAGGTATGGGGATCAAGGTTCAGAATTTGACAATGGAAGACTGTGCTTTATGGAAGGATATATGAAGACATTTCTCCTCTTCTGCTTAATTAGCTACCATAAAATTGGGTTGCTATATTAATTACATCTAACTACTACCACAAAGTGTACCAAAGATTTAGGATGGAAATAAGAACCATTTAATTAATAAACAAAAAAATTTGATTTCAGTAATTTTTTCTGAGCGGAAGACATTACTGATTTGCTGCAGCAGTTTAGGGATAGTATCACATTAACTGCTATATATACTGCTGTGTCAATTGAGGCTTTGAAGATAATCACTGCTACTTACTAGTTGAACCCATTAAAAGAAAAAGCTTACAATGTCACTGCTGGAGAGCGATGACACAGAAGAGGCAGATGAACCAGAGGATAACTGCTGTGTACTGGCCAATGACAATGCCAAGTGCTGATTGTAAGATGGTTCAGAGTCTCTGTTCTGCTGCTGTTCTCCATTGCAGAGAGCTATCGGGTCTCTTATTTTCAACCTATTATCTGTTAACAGAAAACGTAAGTATCATTTAAGAGCACAGAATACAAACATATGGGCCTTGAAGTCTAAGAAGAGCTGCAGTTTAACAAGCTAATTGAAAAACAGGCTCAGAGAAAACTAATATTGGGTTAGAAAGTTTTTTTTCCTGTATATCTGAATGATTAATTTCAAGGCATGAGTATTTTGAATTATATCAAAGTCAAGAAAAAATTGTAAGTTGGTTTCCTGCTATACCTACCAAGTTCAGGTGATAAATTAATTTTGCTCCCCCACTTCTTTTTAATCCAGGCCCTGTAGTCAATCACTTCTTGGGTCACTTTGATGATTCTACCTAATGTGCTAAAAAAATTTTTCAATTAAGTATTAAACAAAGACTGTTGGTTACATATTTGCAAGCATTTTAACAAGCTACCAAATTACACTAAAAGTCAGTTTAAGATATCCCTAACCAAAGAATCATTTTGAACCTTCTTTTTTTTAGCAAACCATTTAATCCATTGAAGCACCATTTATATTCATATTATTTTTGTTTTACGATACTAACATGCAGCAGTGACACACAGGTAAGATTTTTACTCTGTATTTCTAAATGGAGTACATACAAACTACAGAGAATGCATATGCTAGTAACAGTATATTTGATAAAAGCAATTTATGGTTCTTTCACTTCTCCATACAGAAAGTTTTTCCAGAGAATCTGGATTATCAACAGGTATGGGATGTACAGAAGACAAAAAACATCACAGCACCACAACTGGCTGTGTGGAGACAGAGACCTTCACTAATCCTTGCTTCTGGATTTACAAAACAACTTGTAAGGTGTTAAGGCCCCCATAATTATAAAGGAAGTACCATGGATCGTGAGGTAGTGGAACAAGAAACAGACTGGCTCCAAAACAAGGTAAAATTTCAATAAACTCATAACAGTAAGAGGCTAAGAGAAAACGCTTACCTGGTCCTGCTGAACAGTGACCAGTTATCAACAAAGTAGTGTTTTTCCAACACACTTTCCCAACATTCAGCTATTTGAATCATACTTCTTGAGTCTTCTTGTTTGAGAGATAAATTTTCAAGTTCTTTTCATCAGAGACTAGCCACTGAAATACTGACTATAAACTCCACACTCAATATATATGAAGAAATTACTACAAAGATGGGCTGTGCAAAGTTACCACTGTGGAGCAGGTAATATTTTTTTTTAATCTTCAATGGTTACATTAAAGTTTATTTTGTACTTCACATCATAAAGGTACCTTGCACCAGTACTGGAATTTTGTTTTGGTTTAGGTATACTATAGGAAGGCAGGACATATAAAACCCTAATATATTTAGACTATTTTTACTAGGTTTTATAGTAATACTTTTTGTAGCAATAATTCTCCTACTATCCTAGCAATTACTATCTCATGCAAGACCAAATATGCGTTCCATGTTAGTATTCCAGCTTTAAAAACATGTTACTGTTAGTACTGAAAAAGTCAGTCCAGCAAACATTACACCAAATAATAAGATCTGAATTACAAGTTCAAGTGCACCTGCAGATGGGCCACCAGGACAGAATACATGTCATTAACCATTCTATTTATGTAATGTGGATAAAATGATGCATGCTGGAAAATAAAATCTTGACTTTCACATGCAGAATTAAAGGTGTGGTTGTCACCACTCAGAAATTAAAGATCTGGGTTATAACTAATCATACTTTGGGAACCACAGTTCAATAGCTAACAGTGCACACTAAGAGAAGAACAAATGAATCAGAGGATCACATTTTGTTAATGTATACTCCCATTACATAACAGCATTTTAAATACCCAATACAGTTCTGGTTTCTCAGTTTCAAAGAGTAAGCTGTGCAAGGAGGAGATAGAATGAAGACAGGAATGACCAAAACTGCAGATTCAGCTGTGGCCCTAAAGCAACAGCTCCCAAGAGAGCTACACCAGTATGGGACTCAAACATGCACCAGCTGGGTCTCATCAGCACCAGGACAGGGTGCTGTTAAAAACTTTCATCTAAGAAGGCCTTCAGAAGGAGCCGAGTGTCTACTCTAGGATTACACATAAATTTTACAACTACCATCACCTGTGGTCTTAGAACAAGAAAGTGAACACAGGCTGAGTAACAAGCTTATTACATATAAGGACTTTGTCAAACCTGATGCTTCTTGGAGTAGTGTCCTGGAAGTCACAATTTCATAGCAGAAGCAAAATGAACAATAGAGGCTGGTATTTTTAATCAGACTAGATGACCGATATACCAAAGAACAGGCAAAAATGGGTGAAGTGACTGCTACACCAACAATTGTGGCAGTTGCACACACAGAATGAGGGAGTATGTTCTCTCACCAGTTCATTTCAAAGAGCACAGAGATCAAAGCTCTAAACTCTCTTTTTTGGTATAAATGTAGAAAAAAGGAAATTCACTAACTTATAGGGTCAGGAGTCCAAAGGCGAATTCATGCTACATTGCTTGTGTAGCAAAATTAAAAACGCTCATTACGGCACATGAGAAGCCAAAAGGTGATTAAGGTTATACTGACATATACTTAATAAAGTAGCAAAGAAAGAGGAAGCAAGTGTGATCAAACCAGGTATTGATCTCAAAAGAACACCATATCCTATGTGTGGGACTCAAGCACATCCATGGGTTCAAATAACAATTTTTTTAAAAAAGCATTTGAAAATATTGCTTTAATTTTTTTTCAACACTGAAAAATGCTTAGGAACAAAAAACTCCAACTACTAATCTATCCTGCCTTTATTGTGAAAAATGTCATACTTTTGGGGCTTTTATTTCAACTGAAGCCAGAATTTCTACAGATGTCTGGCAAACACTTCTTCAAATATGCTTGGAAGACATGAAGAAATACTGTTAACTGGTTAGTAAAATCAGACAGGTCTCCTGAGAAAGATGCCCCTTTAATTTTTTTCCCTTAATATTACCATATAGTAAGACCAGGAATAAGCTATTTACAGATCTAGTTTATTTTATAGTAAGAACTCAGAAGTTTCTTCTTTTACATGCTGCAAGACATCAGTTCACAGGGACACTTTCTCCTAACTCTCTTTACAGCACAACTACTGGGCAAATCAATCTTCATATCACTCTTAAAAGGATCAGAGTGATGATATCACCTTGAGCAAAATCAAATATGCTCCAGCCAAGCTCCATATGAACAAGTGAGTAGCAGAGCCTGAAAAATATCAAGTCTGTGAAGGAATGGTCAAAATAACTAAAATATCTCCCAGGTATTAAAAGTGCAATATAATCTAAAAGCACACTAAGGTGCACCTGAGAATGATCACAAGCACAAGGATTAAATAAAACCCCAAACTTAAAACCTTTACCCTAACAAATACACTCTGTAGGACAAGCTGGTATTACTGATGCCTTTTAAGGGACAGAAGGCATTCTAGTAACAGTTCCCAAAGCTCCCAGAACTATTTTGGCCAAACAGTGGCAAACCAAAGCTAACAGATGGACCGGTCAGCAGTTAGTTCAGTCGAGATGAGCATTAGGAAGAGACCCAACAACATTCCAAGCACAGAGACGGAAAGATCACTTTCTGCATGGCTATGGTTGTTTTGAAGACTATCACCTGTAAATGACAACTCCAGACATGCAGTAGGAAATTGCCCAGGCTTTCTCAAACTCTGACCTGTTGGCATGACAGGTCTTTCCATTATCCAGCTGCACCACATCTAACACAATACAGAAGACTCCCGAAGTCTAATTTATACTGAAGGGCATGTGACAGAAAAACCAAGTCCTCCATTCCTTATTGCATATGACCTCTTCAGCTTCCCAAATGTGGCTACAGAGCTTTTTAGAGATGCAGTCTGAGCACACATTCCTAGCCAAACTATGTGACAGAACAGCGTGTGAGCCAACATGCAAATGTGCAAAACAAATATTAACCTAAGGATAGATTTTTTCACATCCAGAGCAGCACAACTTAGGGCTGTGAAATGATACAATACCACGCTCTCCCTTGTGCCCCAGATGTGAACTCCTGCTGCTTCTCTTGCTTCTGATCAACCTGTCATCAACCACAAGTTGGATCAACTTCTTGACATGACAGAAGCATTGAGATACTTGTTTTCAGTCAGACCAAAAAGTCCATCTGACTCACCTTCTGACTGAAGGATTGCTAGATCTTATACAAGGCAAGATTAGACTGAGAAGGAACAGCAGAGCTGACAGAAGGCAGTACCCAGGTACTTAGCCTGGGCAAGGTATAATATGAAATTACACCTTAATATAAATGCCATGGAGAGGTTTGTAACAGATAATCCACTATTTAAATGAACACAAACCAATAAGCAGAGCTTATTGAGAACTCGTTGTCAAATATCTGCTAAGGTTTCCTGTGGTTCATCAAGAAACAGGACTGGAAAAATGGTCACTAACTCAAAACAGAGTCCAAAGAAGGGCAATGAAGCTGGTGAAGGGTCTAGAGCACAAGTCCTGTTTAGCCTGTGAAAAAAGGAAGCTCAGGGTGTACCTTATCATTCTTTACAACTACCTGAAAGGAGGTTGTACCAGGTGGACATTGGTCTCTTCTCACAGATAAGTGAAAGCGTAAGAGGCAATGTCCTCAGACTGCACCACAGAAGGTTCAGATTAGATATTAGAAAGAATTTCAGCAACAAACAGGTTGTCAAAGCACTGAAACAGGGTGTCCAGGGAAGCAATGAAGTTACTGTCCCTGAATGTACTTGAAAGCCATGGCACTGAGGGACATGGTTTAATGGTGAGCACAGTAGTGGCTGGGTTAACAGCTGAACCCAATGATCCTAGGGGTCTTTTCCAACCTAAATGATTCCGTGAAAATATCACTCCTCACAGACTAAAGAAGTGAGCTCACTTGAGATGGCGCACTCTTTCCCAGAGACAGGCATGAGGCAAAGATCATATGAAAGCTGTTCAAAGCACATACCGACACCAATCTTTAAGCAGGAAATATCCTGCCCATAACTGTATTTCACAGCTAGACTCATGTTTCTGTGGCCCTAAATATTAAGAAATCAATCACAATTTTCAGTCACCTTGGCTGAAGACAACACCCAACTTTACCTTGCATACAAGCTATAGAAGTTCTAAATGAATCAGTCTCTCTTATTTTCCTATGAGGAAACTCCTTTTTTCAAGATGACAGGAAGCTGCTTGCTCTAATAAAATCAACCAAACTGTCAATCAGGCTCACCTAAGCCATTCTCAGAAGGGGATAGGTGAGATTGACTAGAGACAAAATAGTGTTAAGGTAATTTTTCTAGCTGTAAGAATTACCGTCAGGATTCAGCTGATTACTGTTTCCACTGAGAAGAAAGCTTTTCCATGACAGGAGATAACTTTTAATTCCCACTACACCTCAGATGTTCTATTTGGAAGCCTGAACAACGATGGTGGTAAGAGTGATGTGAATCTATCCTTTATTATTCTGTGGGACTTGCTACCACACAATATGAGTCCTATGCTGCTGAAGGACTTTTTTTTTTCCCATTGGGACTATGAGAAGTAGTAACTCTTTAGAAAGACTTAAATTAATGTAGACATATTTTTGTGTTGGACTGACCCTGAAAAAGAACTACAATAATCACCACGAAAGATGTGAAACTATTGAGTGTCATCTACAAAATAGAACTCTGTATACAGAAACCTTCCCTGGGAAGAGGAAATATGAATTCAAACCCATCAGACAGTTCAAGAACTATCCCACTTAGGAAAAGTCTAGCCCAAATTAGGACAAAACTGAATAAACTCAGCCTGGGTAGTTCAGCTTCCTGCAACTTCCTGTCCTTTCAAGTACTCTTCATTTAGTCTTGATCCCTCTAGTAGAGCATCATGTTCTACTAGAAGCCAGTCCCTGGTCTTAAATGGAGCCCATTGTTTATAGTTACAGTTATGACATATAACCTACCAACAAGTCTAGAAAAGGGAAAAAATGTATCAGGACAAAGGGATCCCAGATGGCCAGGTTTTAGGTCAGGCCACCAGAAAGGCCTTTATACAGAGCATAGACCACTCTGCCTTACAGCAGGAAGAGGGACCCACAAACATACCTGGATTACCCAAGCACATCAGGTTTAACTGAGACCAAACATGGCCTGCTGATTTCTGCAAAAAACTTGTTATCAAACAGCTCATCATCCACTTGTAAATCCTTTGGCACTGACAAGACAGGTGCTAGGGGTACTATTTACACACAACTTTGTTGAATGCTGTTCCCCTTGCAAGCCAGTGGCATGATGGATTCTGAGATTCAGATGTCACCGGCACAGACAGCCCAGAACTCACAGACATGTCAGACATGACACCTGAACACTGCTGCTGGGACTGCTCCACAGGTTTGCAGTTGTAAACAAAATTCAAACATTTTCCAGATACAGTAACAAGTGCAAGTCCATGCAAAGTACATATACTCATGACACCTGAGGCTCCTATTAGATGCTGTGTATACTTTTTGATGCCTGTACTAACTACTGACACCTCAAAAGAGAATATCCTTCAGAGAAAAAGAGAAGTTAATGGAGGCCAGGACCCAAGATAAGGAAAACTTCAGGACCCCTAGGTTACTCTGTCTGTACTTAGGTAAGAACAAAGTTTCAGTACCAAGAACTGCCGGCCAATACACATTTAACAGTGACCTTTAATATCTTATAACAGCAGCCTCTAATGTCAGTGTGCAACCACCCTTTCTATACCTCCATTACAGTGCAGTCTCAACCTCCGTGAATTTAATACCACTGAAAACCTAAAGGATTTACAGGCACTCCTAAAGTACTGTCAGCCAAACTCACAAATGAAAGAATGCGTCCACTTTGATGTAAACTTACTGGAGGAAACTATTTCACCTTCCAATGACATTAATGCTGAAAGTTTACATCATGACTAGAGTTTGCAGTTTTACTGAGATGATTTATGTGACATCTTACAGCCATCCTTCCCTGTGATTAGCTGGGGAGCTCAAAGCCATTGGGATTTTAGGGAAGTCTCAGGGAAGAGACATCCTCTGATCTATCCCAAATTCCCACTAAGGGTTAGAACAAAAGGTGCTAGAGCAGATACATTAATGGAAATACCACATGGCTGCCATGCCTTCATTATCTTTCTCCTCTTTCTTTCAAAAAACAGAAATTGCAAAGGTGAGATCTCGAAGTACTGGTTGCACTTCTATGCATTAAAAATGGCATGTCTAGAAGAATGGTACTTTTATGGCAGTTCTGACATAATGATCAAATGGAACTGATTCTATTAGATTTTTTTAATACTGTATGTCTTTTTTTGAATTCTTAAATATATATCAAAACTTGTAAAACAGCCTATTGGCACATTTATTAAAGAACAAGGGAAATTCTTAGCCTTGTTGTCTAGTTTTCTAATTATCTAAACAAGTAATTTGATCACACACATTTCTTTCTGCCACAATACAGACATGCATCATACTAAACATTAAACCAGCAAACCCTTATTTGAAATACTTCAAGCAGAATGTTGGACTCATCCTGGGTTTTATCATACTCTCTTCATTTCAGTGCTGCACATTGAGGCATTGCACTCTTCACATCCCTGGGCAGGTTAAGTTTCTGCACAGATTTCAATACGACCACAGTTCAACAATAAATAAAATTCCTTTTATGAATCTAGAACCAAACATTATTAACTGGTTACACAGACAAATGGATATTGAAAAAGTGAATTAATTACCTCTCAGAATCTCTATTTGGATATGATCTTGCAAGTGGTGATACGGCATGGCTAAGAACAATGTAGGCATAATCAAAAACTTGCTTCACTTGCATTGCACCGTAAGAACTTCTGCCAACATCGTTTCCTGAAATAATGTGACAGTCATCAGATCATCTTTTTTTAATATCAGTTACCAAAACATTACTCATACTTAAAAGATCAGAAGCCTCAACAATACAGCTTAACTCTGTTTAAACCAGTTATCCCATCCTAGCCACATCAGGAACACCTAAGTGTGCCTATTTCAACAAAACAAGTTGACTTTAGGAATGACACTTAACATTATATATTCAATTTATCACTTCTAAAATACTTGTATATAGTGCTTGAAAGAAACAGAGCATAGAGATCAACTTAAAGCTCTAAGAGCTGTCTTCCAGAAGGAACCTAACAAGCTTAAAGCACCATGTCTCACTTACCAGTAGTTTCTGCAGGCCAAATTCAGTTTAAAACTTCATTTGTGTAACCTTCATTATGTCAAACAGACTCACATCAAACCCTAAATAACCTTATCAAAACTACAGATTAATAAACCAGCACATACAGATATTTTTCTCCACAGGATAAGCAAGTTTTTCAAAAATCTATCATGGAAGATTCCAGAAGCTAGTATAGTACTGGTTTTTTATCAAGTTTGTAGCACTCTCAACTGCCCTACTTTAAGAATGAGTGACATTTTAACTGGAACTCTTTCCAAACCTATTGCCATGTGAAAAACTGCATAAGTTCAGAACACTGTACACCTTCTGCATCAGTGACAATGTAGAAGAACAGGTCACCCATCTGATACATAGAACAATCTTGTTAGCAAAAGGCATTTGGGGGCTTCATTTGGCATCAGACATCAAAATTCACTTTAATTTTGATTGAAGCATTCCATTTAAGAAACATAAACAAAAGTTGTTTCAAATTGCATAAAATATGGACTAGGTCTTGAGTGGGTAGAAAATTGCTTACAGTGAAAGATTCCCTCCTTCAGATTGTGTGAAATGCTGTGAGAACACTAGAAAGGGACAAAGCACCAAAAAATCAGATCAGAGCCCATGAATAAAAGAAATCAATGAAAAATCTGCTTTGAAAAATTAATGGGTAAAGGACAGAATCCATCCTTTGGTGGACAGAGTCCAACAAGACTGACTGACTTTAGAGGAACAAAGTTCCTGAGTGTCTTGTCCAGCAAGCCACTACAGACAAACCTGATGAGATCTGTCATCCGGGGCAAAAACAGATTCCTTTCAGAATTCTCCAACCATAATCCCACTCTAACAGAAAAGTATAATCAAAGAAAACTAACTGAAAACATAAAAGCATTCTGGGAAAACAGAATTTTTCCAGTAATTCACATGGTCAAATAAAAACTGATCAAGAAATACTTCCTGTTACTGACATAACTGAGTATCTTGCTCTGAATGCATCACTGTGGTATATACAGCAGCTACTAGGCTCAAAGTTGCAGAAGCCTCTCCAAATGGTTTATTTGCTATTGGATTCTATTCCGAAGTAAAAGCAGAGATCAGTGTGGGCCTAGAACAGTGAATCTAGGAAGAAACATATGGTAATGTTCTTCACAGAGGGATACACAAAGGACTTAATCCAAAGGTGGCTGAAAAGTGACGAAAATATTTTGGTGGTCATGAAATCAGAACACAATGTTAATTAGACTAAAAAAGCAATGATTAATTCAGTGTAAGCTTTTCAGAGGTAGGACACCTGTGTCCATCCACATCATGATATTCTAAACCTAGATATGTAAGAGAATTAAACTGAGAACCAATACAGAAATGGAATACATAAAAGTGGCTAAACACACATAATAGCACCTACCACTACTTTCAAGTCCATCTATGGTTGGACTTGATGTTAGGGTTCTTTTCCAACCTAAATGATTCTATAAATTCACATAACATTAATTAAGAATACACAATGCACACTCAAAGAATCTTTATTAGTTTAGTCTAACCCAATGCCAGGCAGGTTTATTTGGCATGTGTCCTGCATAAAGTTACACCAAAATGAAGACAAGGCTGCGACAAAATATTGGTTATTCCTTTCATCAGTTGTGCCAGCAAAAGAAATCATAAGCCTTCCCTAAACCAATTACAGTAAACTTGGGCAGTTTAGTTTAAATCAATGAAGTTTTGTTTGAGTCTTTATTGAAGCAGATTTGAGAACAGAGGCAGAAGAGCTCATGCCAAACCATGCCTGGGTTCCTGGATTTCCTGGATTGCCTCATTTTGCACCTGTAACTCATTCATAAAAATGTTTGAATTAATAGGTCTTATTCAATTATACAGTCTGCAGAGCTTTTTAATTGGGCTGCAACTGGAGCTACTGTGAGCTGCACCTGTAAAGTCTGTGTAAAGATGACCCTAGCCAATCCAGAAAACAACATAGTAAAGAAGCCAGAAGATCACACATTTGCTGCCCTGAATAGATTTTCTTCTGAGAGATCACTCTCTAACTAGAAAACTATGTCTTACATAACTGGGAATCCTTCTTTGGTCACAATTTAGACTGATCAGTTAAAGCACGCAACCCAAATGCTGTCACTCTTTAAAAAAATCATACATACTTCAATCCTCAGATGTACATTAGCAGATAACAATGGTGTATGATTTCATGTATAATTCAATCCTTATTCTTTCTTACAAAGCCTTCATCCCTAAAGGAGCATGTCCAAAATTTCCATCACTTGCTATCAGTATTACCACTCCATCAGGTAGCCTTCCTTTACCTGAAGCAGTTTTAAGAACACGGCCTGAAAAGGTAAAGGCAAGACCATGAGCTAGAACTGAAGCAGACCCATTTATGTTAAGCTATTAGCTAGTAAACAGCTTTTTGCAACATTCAGCATTAAAGAGGTTCTTTCAAATGCTAACTTCAATGAACCTGTGTATTTTTATAAACACTTATGTTTTATACAAACACACGAACATATATGTTCACAGGTTCTAATGACAAATAGCTGATACTGAAAAGCTGCAACGAATCATTCTGGCCAGCCACTAAGGCTAGAAGAGATAATCTCCTAGATGTTGCCAATCTCAAATCTATTTACTTCCCATACTTGTGACCTATCAAGATGCAGAAGCAAGCAACACAAAGCGTAATAAACCCTGCAAGTTAAAGATTCTCTTTTCCAAGAAAACACATCAAATTTAAGGTTTAGAACTTTCATTACTGCCCACAGCAATTCAGACAGAAAAACAAACTGTCTCATGAATGGAGCTGCACAGGTAGAACTCCAAGTTTTAAACTTGGTGTTAAAGAGTTGCAATTTAGCTATTCTAGCCACTGCCAGTTTTAAACTAGACCAAAAATATTCCTGGTCTGAACATCAGAAATTACTGCAGGACCTTGATAATCACCTGATTCACAAAGGTACAAAATAACAAGCCCCCAGCAGTCTGCTGGGTAGGTGCCAAGCTTGTTTTAGAAACACAGATTAAAAGATTTGTCAACTGCAAACAGTTACGTGTTCCAAAACAGGATACTGCTACCAACTCCAGACAAACCTCTTTCAACATGACATCATCTACCCTGCTCCAACATAATCCTGTGAACAAACTTCTGAGTGCCTGGCTTTGAAGTTCTCCTTAATAAATACTTTTACTTTTTATATATTTTACAAAAAGGACAAGTGCTTTGAGAAACTGAAACAGTACAACTATAAGATGTTTATGAAAGCCCCCACCCCCCTTTAGGCAATGCTAAGGGAATGATTTGCATGTCATTACCCTGATCTAGGGCACTAACTCAAGATGAAAGACCTTAGACTATGTACAAAGACCAAGTATAAATGATTACTTCAAAATGCATTACTGCTATTATTAGTCTGGTAACTCAAATCTGGACCTCAACAAGCTTCCCACTTGAAGTGTCGTCTTCTGACATCCTTGTTGGAAACCTGGTTCTTAAATCACACAAATTATGTTCTGGCACACAATGATCAGTCCCTGAAAATCTCTGATGAAACCCTGCAGTACCTAACAGAATCTAAGAAAACTCACTACATTTAAAACAACAACACAATGTGGAACCTGGATGCCTGTTCCTCCCAAATCCAGGAATTAACAGAAGGTAATGAGCAGGTTAGAATGATGTATCACATCCTTCTGATGACACCTTTCATCTCTCTTAGCCAGCCATCACCCGACCATTTCACACTGAATAAAAAACAGCATGAAATTAAGTTCCTCCAATTTAAAGAAACTAATCCCACTAAACACATACCTGTTCCCTACAAGACTACTTTAAATCTATTTTTTGAGGTATACCATATAATATCCCATTGCTGAACTACTGCATGCACTCACAGGAGCAACTCTTACACTACTTTGATAATCTTTGAGAAATTGAAAGGGAGGGTTGTTTTTTTGTTTTTGTTTTTTTTTAAATCCCTGTACTTTTTGTCTCATTTTGGGATTAAGAAGACATCTTTTCAAGTATTCTTCCAAGGCTTAACAGAAACCTTACAGACAGTTGTGATCAGGCTAAAAAAAACAAACAAAAACACCAATTGTGCATACAGTGCAAACACAGGTTTGCAAGAGTAAAACTCAGCAGCAGTTTATGCTAATTTATGTTGAGACATCTGTGTCCACTCTTTCTGAAAATAACTTATTCCCATCTCCTTCACAGTACTGCCACCAACCCTCAGAGTCAGACATTGAGTGGATCTGAACACAAACTAATCAGAGGTGGCTTGTAAACTGGGCAAGGACCTGAACCCTTGGGAAAGATTTTTGTATTGGGACAGAAAGAATAACAGAACTAAAGTAATTAACAGAATTCTAGACCTTACTAACATACACTTGACAGGCAATTTTAGATACTGTAGGAATATGTGATTAAGTCTGCATTTAAGGAGGCTGTACTCATCAGATCTGATTCACAAAACCATCCTATACGTGCTATATAATTTTCCTCCCAGCTTCATCTGGCAAGTTCTGAAGGTCTGTGGTAGCTGCTAAAAAATATCCTTATGAGACATAGTGGTCAGATAACTTCAAAACGTTGTCACTTTTCATTTCCATTGCCAAAACACTATCCCCTGTAAGAATTATATTATTTCACACCATAAAAACTCTTAATTTAATTTAATTCTTATCATCTCTTTGACAGCATACTGCTATTCTTTCTTCTAGACTACAGTTCTTCATTTCTGCAAGATTAATGCTAGGAGGAAAGTTCAGAGCCCCTATTAGATTTTTTTTTTCTTCTCCAGAGTACTATTAGCAGTTATTAAAACACTGTGTAGCACATGCAATTTGTTCTCCTTCAGTCCCCAGCAGATAGAAAGGAACAGAACTGGAGGGCAGTATGGATTTTTGACTCTAAACAATTGTGGCTCATACTGCTATTCAAATGGGTCTTCAGGCAAGTAAGTACACAGTTCTTAAAGGAAATCTTAATGACAATCACAGTTCTGCACAATCACACCCTAGCCTACGCCTGGCCAAGTACAAGAGTCATTACAGACAGAGTTACACACATATGAGAGAGATGGTTAGACAAATGAGTAGCACAGCCTGAAACCTGTTCTAGGGAAGTATGAACATTCAGCATACTGAGTATTTAGAAAGGTGACAAACTTTAGCTCCTGATCCATGGTATTTGCTTTAAAAGTGCTGCAAATAAGCAGTCTACACATGAAATGTGACAGTATGGACTTTGACTGCCAATTATAATCTAGAAATACTTGTGCTGAAGTCCAAATTAACTGAAAATTTACTTTGTTAAAAAGCTGGTTTGGAATTTCAGCTACTTGTCATGGTGTAAATAGAATACAAACTGAGTATTATAAAGCTGGAAATTTTCCTGAGGCACTTAGCCAAAATTAAGCTCAATTATTTTGAGGGTTACTGAATTAAAACAAAATCTAAAAAAAATAATTTTATGTTAAGTATTTTCAAAAGAACATGCAACTCTAAAACTCTAACTGGCATTCCCTAAAGACCCTTGTGCAGCACAGAAGCCAGTTATGCAAAGTGCTCCCCACACCACCACAATGCAGCTGGTTTTTACAGATACCCCTGTTCCCGAGCAGAACCTGTCCTGCAGGGTGGTACCACAGGGACTGAGGTACCACCCTGCAGGACAGGGTCTACACCTGGGGCATTTCTTTCCCATATCATGTGATTTATCTGAAGTATGGCACCACAGACTGTGGCAGTAAAAGCTACACCTTCCAATCGCATTCTCACAGCAAATAATGGAGAACTGTTCTGCTAACAACCCTTCTGCTAACATTCCCTTCCAGGATTTCCTAGAATTCTTTCTTTCACTACCTCTCAGTGGTGTCAGAGAATCTTACTACGTACTCAACACAGTACTGGATCTCCAAAGCCTTATGCAATTGCACTGTTTGCATGTAATCCAATTTACTCAGGCTAAGAATCTTGTGAGACCTCAGGCCCATATCCCTCAACCCTCCTACCTGACTGTACCTCTACAGCAGCAACAGCCTCCTCCCAGTGCAGCTTTTCAACTTGTCTGACGGACTAATGCAAGCCGAGAGCACAAGCTGAAGTGAGAGCTCTGGAATATTGCAATAAATGTACAGTCTTACCAGGCAGAAGAGGATCTTCAATACATAGCATGGATGGTCTGTATCCATTAGTCATGACTTTCATGATTTCTTCTTTGGCAATATAGGCACCTCCATTTTTTATTCTAATACCAGTTTTCAAGTAGTTAAAATTCCTTCCATACAGTTCAAAAAATTCTATTAGAAGCATTCCAATGTTTTCATCAGCTCTTCTGGCATCAATTCTTGGATGTAGCTGTAACATAAATCAGTTTTTGCATATAAAAATTTCGTTTTCAGACTATAACACAAGGCAACAAAAACATCTCCTTTAAACAGCTGAGTATTTCTTCACGTAAGTCTCAACTGAATAATTCACTCTTCATGTACTTAAACTCACTCTCATACAACCTAGAGGGGGCAGCACGTCAGCAGTATCTGAAAGCCAAAGAATTCTTTCATCTTTCCTCATGTAGCTTTTTGAGGAGTAGGGAAGTCTTTTCCCCAAGTCAAAGCAAAGAAGTAAGTACTGCATACTAAATTATAGCCTAGTTAGTAACAAAGTAGTACCCGATTTTCCACATTGAGGGAAATCACTCCCTCAATATTTTCAGAAAATGGAATACAATTTGTGTCTCTAGCTCTACTTGTTATATTTGGTACACTAAATCTATAGTAATATTTCAGTGAACACCACCAGCAGCAGAATATGTAAGTTTTCCATTACCACAGCTGCTGAGAGATACTAACCCCATACCTCATCATACCTGTAGGAAGCTCACTATCACAAAAATGTATTAAGAGAAGTTATAACTTGTTTCTAACATTGTAACTCACTACTCTTTCATAAGTCAAGTACAGCATCTGCCAGTCTTAAGCATGTCAAAACCTAAACAACATGTAAGAAAAAGAAAAAAAAAATAGCTCGACTGTTGGATTTCATCATTTTAATAAACACTGAAATCAACTACTCTGCACATTCAGTACCAGTAGTCTAAGAAGCAAAAGACCAAATGCATCCTGCAGATTTATGAAGCACCATTAAGATGATTCAGGTACAGGGCCTGGTATAGAGAGCAATGCACAGCCTCTAGCCTTTCACAAGGCTCCTGCTGCTGTTCCAGTTCACACAGGATACATGCTGGATGTTTGAGAGGTAGTCCACAGGATCTCTCAAGAGTCAAACACTCAGATCCATAACAGTAATGCTGCACATTGCAAGGGGCATCTGAAGAAACAGTACAATAAAAGGGCATAGGTACTGAACCCAAAATATTTTGAAGAACATGGAAACAAATAAGGAACAGACTTACCTGCAGAAAACTAATTGCCATTAAAATTAGGCTGTAAGAGCTAATTCCACCAGTAAAAACTTCATTCAAATCCCTCTGAAGGAGGAACTGTTTTAATACTAAAATCAAGTAAGGTAGCAAAGAGTACTTCTGCAAAGCAAAACAAGTCTTAATGTAAATGTCAACATTCCAAAACAAAGAAGTACACAATCTTAGCACACAAAGATTCATCTAATACAAAAATATTTCCAGTGGTGTGCTATACAGTGTTTCCACAGGAAGAACTGAAAATAGAAACATATGAATAGACTTCAACTCTTATTTGACTGAAGACCTTATGTATCAAATTTATTTCCCACCTAAATGGTAAGACTTTTATATCCTTTGAATACCAATGTCCCTCACTATAGCCAAAGCTTTCACTCTAAATAGTACTTTTGCTACAGAGCATAAAAGGCAACTTTTAAGTGTGTAACTACACAAGAATTGTTTTTTGACAGTTTAGCAGGACAGTACTCATAATGCAGCATCACTTAAATTCAAGGTAAACAAAACTTGAAGAGACTTGCTTCAAAAGCAAAATTTAGTGCCTATCTGTAAATCTAGACATGATCATAGAAGTTCTTTCACAGTGTACAGGTTTATTCACTCAAACACCTAGCACTCAAATGGAACACTGAATGGACATGGATAATAAATTAAAATATCCGTGTTTAACTAGTATTAATGAAAATAGTCTTCAGCAATAAATTGTCGAGCCATACCAAAATATGTTAGCTAAGCATCTAGCACATCCTTGGTAAGTAGCATAACATTCAATACATGGTTGATACCTTCATGTATTCCTTGATAAATCGAGCTGCCTTCACACCAGTTTCTACATTAAAACTGATGTCAACTTTCACTTCTGTCTCCTGGTCAGTGAGTTTTATTATTGGTACCTGAAAAGATTAGAACAAGAATGTGAATCCCCAGAAATACAACACTGGTGCTGTTCCCTAGCTTACTCAAGACAAATGGATATTAGCAGTCCAAATGACTGCAATTATCAAGTCTGTCTGAGAGGAGGTAAAAATCCTAACCTGACCACTGAATGCTTTCTAGGGAGGTGATTAACATACAACCATATTAACTTACCATCACTCTGGTACTCTACCACAGCCATCAGCTGTCTTCAGAGTTGCAATAGCAGTGCTTCATATGACAGCTTAATTTACTTAATTTAATGACTCATTCCAATTAATAGGAGATCTTGTAATCTCATAACCTGTGGGAACTGCATTCCTCTGACCCAGTATTGCACCATTCACTTACTGAACTGACAAGAAGCCAGCCTAGCAGAAAGTAATGCCTGTTGGTTTATCAAGATGAACTGGTTCAATGCAGAGTCAAATGAAAGCCAGAAGAGATAAAGAAAAGCTGCCGTAATACGGCAGGAATAGATTAATATAACGTGACTGAATATGTAGTTTTGCTTCATACCAAGGCAGTGCCCTACAAAATCATCTTACAATCATAACCTAAACTTCAGCTGATAACATTTATTTTAAATTGAACTCCTCATATTTTTAATCTGAAATGGAAAACAAAAAAGAGTAGAAGCATAGCACCATTTTATACCAACATCAGAAGAAACAAAACAAGAAGGAATAGTAGAATTGTAAGGCTAGCCTAGTGCCGTTCTCCATCATTAACTGGTAATACAGATTCTGATAATCCCATAAATTCTCATGTAAACCAAAGACTACCAAAGCTACTGTTACGTACTACTACTCTAATGACAGCCAGAGGAATATTATGAACCTAAAAGAAGAATGTTTTAGAGACCACAAAACAGAAGCTTGCTAACAGAAGTCTGGAATAGTCACCTTAGTCCCTTGAAGAAAACATCACTTGCTCAATAACACAAAATTCTCATGCGTTAAGTTTTTAACATATTCAACATGATTCAGGTTTACAGAAAAGATGCAAGAGATAACACACAGTCTCACAGTGACATAAAGCTCTCGAATAGTGTATTTTGGACAGGAAAAGCCAATGTTAGGTCTGGAACACTTCACTATGCTGTCAGAAACAAGACAACCTGAAAACCATGTTGAAAGCTAGACAACTCTAGTTACTAGCTTAACAAATTCCCCTCAAAGGTCAGTGGAAAAACATTATGCTAAGAGTTAACTTATTTTACTGGATATTTTGCAAATACTAACTTTCAGATCTTTATTGACAACAAAGTATGGCCTTCAGCAAACACAGTACACAGAATTACTGACGTCCATGTAAAAGTCTCCATGCTATTGCTAAGCACCTACAGATTCTACTGAAATCTTGCAGAGAGTTTAAGACAATATAATTTGCTTCAGGAATTAAGAATACTATTTATCACCAATATCTGAAGGGGTCTGAAAGTTTTTCAGCTCAGTATTCCAAAGCAATTACTTACCGTAGCTTTGTCAAGTACTTTAATGGAATATGGTTCAGCCACATTGTGTTTTCTCAGTGCTTGCTCCAATAGCTGTAAAGGGGGTCGTTCCCATTTCCCAAAAACAACTAGATCAATATCACTAGACAAAAAGAACACAGTATGAAATCCAGTAAATCTAAAAAAACAATACACTACCAAAAAATATGGTAATATTGGCATTCTATATTTTACAAGTCATACGTGGTGATCTTTTTGCAATTTACCATTTTGGTTCCCAACAAGTTTCTAGGAGAGGTAAGCAAGATAGTCCACGGTGTTTCAGGACCCAAAGCAGTATTCTAGTTTCTTGCTTCCATTACTCTGATGAATTTTTCTCTGAGCTCCTTTCCCTTTTACCTTTCATGCTCCCTCCCCTCTGACTTAAACAGTCTAATTCCATCCATCATTTATCATATTGACAGGCATTTTAATACTCGAAAGAATTTCATCAGTGATTGGCATTCGCAGAAATTAAATTTCCAGTGCTTTCCTTCTGAAAATTTAATTTATATAAAGACAACTTCATCTTCAAGGCAGAGCTACACGTTTCCACATCCAATTGAACCATTAACTGATACAAAATACCAAATTAAGTAAGACATTTTGCTCTCCAAAAAGATATAACACTATGATGGTTCTTTTGACTTTACACAGTAACTCTGTGATGAGTGACACATTCTTAGTAATTTATCTTATTTAACAAAGCAATCTTTGTTAAATGCCAAACATTCAGTTTCACTGTCTGTTTAAAAAAAAAAGTCAAAGACTAACTCCAGACATAAGGAAGAAAAGGTAATTCACCAAAGGGTCAACAAGCAGAGCCGTAAGATAATACATCGAATACTTATCGCAAATCTTGAAGTTCAAAAGCTCTTCCTTGTATCACATGAAATATAAAAGTTTTACTGAAAGTTTGACATATTTGCACATTCCATTCTAAACTCCTCTTTGAAATTCATCATTTCTCTAAAAGAAAACAAGAGTAAACTATTACTTACCTAGTTGGAAGATAAAGCCCTGTACTAAAGCTGCCAAATATCTGGACCTGAAAAAAACAGAGCAGGAAAACAGCTTGCAATTATGAATGCTTACTTCCTTTTATTTTCACAAAACTTCATACTTTTCTCCAGTTGTTAAGGATATAGCCAGTAAAAAACTTAGTTTACTATCTGTACAAAGACACTTTTTCTTAAGAGATGAGACTTCAGAGGAAATTTGGCTTCTTTACTATGAGATAACTACCAATCCAGCTAGCAGAGAATAAATTTAAGCAAGTTCTTTTCATTACTTATTTTCAGTTTGGCACACATACACACTTTTACCAATTTCCTTCCCTCCTGCTCCTTCCTTTCCTTACAGGACAGCTTTAGTGAAACTGAAAGAGTTTAAGGGAAACTTTCCAAATTTTTATGTTTAAAAACGGCAAGTACGTCTAAATGTACCATTCAGATAAATATGGATACTACAGATTTTACTGTCAAGAACAGCTATGAAGCAGCAGCAGGTGTTTGTGTGTGGAAAAGCAGGCACAATGAAGTTACATCCACAGACCACATCAATTACTTTCATTGAGCTTCCCGTCTAAAGAATTGAGATGTTCTTCACTCTCTGATACAGCAGAGCCCAATTCAAAAGCTCACTTAGTTTTTTGCCAGGCAACTCAGGCCCTTTTCAGTGTTTGTATCAATTTCAACAAGGTAGAAAAATCTCACTAAGAAGGAAAAACATGGGCGAGGATGAAGCAGATAAGTTTTACAGTATTTTTAGCTCAGTGCTGTAGCCTGAGCCCTCACCGTCTACCATGGAAGGCTATGAAATCACCGTAGTGAATTTTTCTAGTGGCTAATGACAATGCTACAATCTGGCAATCACAAAGGTGATGCTAGAAATACAATTTAGAATACATTCTTTTTGAATAAGCGTGTTTGAAATTACTCCAGCTTAGATTGCAATATATCTCAGAGAGTGAAATTTTTCCCTACTGCAGTGGGGCTAAAGCAATTCCTTGAATGTCAAATTCATGAAGAGTACGAAAAAAAAAATATGCATTTAATTGGTCTTTCCTAAAATATTTTGCACATGCAGGACTCCTTGCAGAAATGAATATATAGGTAGTCAGTCTCACTTTAATATTCAAAATTAAATTATACAGAGACAAGCACTTTAATAAGCTTTTACTTTAAGGAATGTACTACTAAAAGCTTCACACTCCCAGCTCTCAAAATGAAAAAACATTCTGTAGAATTCATTAACCCAAAATCTAGGTTTGAAATTTCCCCACTTTTAAAAATAAATTTCCAAATACTGCAAGAACTGTGATATTGAGATAATTGCCTTAAACCTGAAGAGTTACCTGCTCATTCCTAAAAGAAAGATAATAGCAAGGTTAAGTGAACCAAGCTGTACAATTTACTAGAGAAACAAATCACAGCTGAAGCTACACTCACATCAGCGGTAGGCCAAAGATCTTTGATGACTGTTTCTATCCTTTTTACCACTTCTCTTCTCATAGCTGCTTCTTCAGGACGAGGGGACATGAAGTCATAGAACTCAATGATTTCTTCATGTAGTCTAATGGAGAAAGTAGGATCAGTTAAAGTGACAAATGAACTATTTAACTATTACAATAAATTTTACAAGAAACAAGCTATAGGCTTTATTTAGTATTATCCTTTAATCAAAGAGCTCAGAACACTAACTCTAGTAGAAATTTACTAAATTTCTTACTGGCTCAGCAGTGAAGGCCAAATTCAATTCCTGAATTTTAATTATTCTTTTCTTTAAAAGACAAAGATGAGTCTTAAAAACTACATAATGATGCAAATGTGAAGTAGCACAAGATCAGCTAAAATCTTCAAGCAGGTTTATTCTTCAAGCAGTTCTTACTTCTGTGTATGTAGCAGTTTACACAGACTGCAAACAGGCCACTGGCATTAACGAGATTTTGCAGAGGACAATAAAAAGGACATTTGAATATTTATTGATGTAAAATCATACACTTTGACACTCAGACCCTTCATTAGCCATTCATTCATATAGAAAACAACCTTCCAACTGAACACTAAGTGAGAATTGTGAAATATATTCTCACTTGTAAAGTATTTTTATACCAATGTTACATGAGGAGTCCTGACACTGGAACCTTATACACCTATTAAGCCCTTTTGTTTCAATGTCTTGTGGTATATGCCAATACTATAGAACTCTTGCTGGCAAATTTGAGTGTTCAGGTGAATGTCATGTTTGCCTTCAATGGAAAAGTATCAAGCCACAGCAAACAAAACTGCAAATAACTACTGCTGTGACATTTTTCCAAAACATCTTTTTGATGTTGACATATTTCTGAGATTTCTGTCTAACTCACAAAATGTACCTGGTCAACATTGCAGTGAAATCCAAATGCTCTCCTAAACCTCAAAAAAAAAAAAAAATCAATCTATAATTTATATACTTAGCCTTCCAAAAGAAAAATTTAATACCTCTCTAGTAGAACTCAACTCTTCATCTGAGACTTTTGCAATTCATTTTACTCAGTAACTCCCCTGCTAACAGGTAACTTCCAAGAGACCACATGCCTAATATTTAAGTGTTAGTATTTCTTCCCATAGACTTTCCCATTCTTCCCACAAAGACTTTTGCAGCAAAGCTGAAAGACACTTCCAAAAAGCATAAATACTTTGAATTACTGTTTGCCCTTTCTCTTTTCTTAAACTGAGCTTGGACCAACAACTGAATGTTTAACTACATAGCAGACTGAACTAACATCTCAATTTGCTGAGGAAGCCACTTGATTCCAAAATTTTAGAGCAAGACAGAAAATGCAAAGAAAATGCTCTTATTTTGTTTATAGAAAGTATGCTTTTTTCCTACCTACAAAAAGACCAATGAATAAAATACTTGAATATACCTAACAGCAATGGGGACAGCCTAAAGACTTGCTATTCTTCTGCCTATAATAATCTGTAGTAAGCAGATATAGGGTGAAAGCAAGAAAAGGCAAGAAAAGCAAAGGGGCAGCTATCCTTCCAAGTTTCCAGTAATTTCATCTGGCATACGTTCAGGGTGAATCCCAGCCTGATACCTATTAGCTCAAAGAACTTAATTCCATAGATTTTTCCAGGTCTTTTAGTCCATTTCTGCTTTGTTATTTGTGGCATTTAATGGGAATTTAAGTATGCATGAGAATAAAGAATGTTTTATTTTAAAATGCTGCCTGGTCATGATTTTATCTGATTTTTTTTCCTGGGGCAAAAAAAAAAGTTGTTACTGGCAGTTCATCTCAAAACACAAGACTTCTCAGGCTCTCAATCCATTTATCTCCACCCACCAGTAGTTTTCAAAGCTAGTAATCCTCACGAGTTTTTGTCTCCTTTGACAAGAGGAAGTCCAAAGTTTGATCACTGCTAACCTTCTTTGCTTATTTTCAATTTGCACCATGTTTTCTGACAGGTGGGCAGAAACACACACACAAAGTCAACACATAATTCTGCCATTCAGTGCAAGTCACACATCTGTTTTCATTTTATTGTCCCTACACTTGGGAATATTGCTGCTTGAGGGTACCTGAATACACAGCTGCTCTTTAAAATAAACCATAATGAAGGAGCTTCAAGGTGCTTTCTGAACAAAACTATAAACATAGAGCCCACTCACTGTGTGTATGCAGCCTGAATTATTTTTCTTCAGTCATAATTCTATATTTTCTAGAATTTAATTTTACCAGCAATTTTATAATCTAATGAACAATGAACTCCCACTGTGTCTGTCTGCAGTCAGCTCTAGCTTTCTATTATCCTTTCCTCACTCATTTCTTCCCTCCAGGCATTTATGAACATATCGAGCAACAGTCTTGAGTAATTCTATTTGTACCTTCCCCTTATTATAAAGTAAATAATTTATTCTTTCCTTTGGTTATTTTTAAGCACTAACCCAGCAAACCTGTAAATGTTTGGTTTTTACAAACTCCTCCAAAAGAATCTCAAACACTCCTCTGAAAAAAAAATCAGCAGTTCTGTTATCAAACTGAACATAGGAATATGGATTAACAATGAATCCTTCAAGAAAATGAGACCTGTGAGACGCATCTACTTTAATCAAAACATGCACTAGACCATTTCTTTATGTTTGGCCATGCAAGAAGTTCTGGGTTTTTATGTCATCAGCCCCATTCAACCACTCCAGGAGATATAGAAATTTCTAGGAAAAAAATGCATTTACAGTAGCCGTCCTGTATTAGGGAAGAGAATAAATGGAGATCTGTCCCCATCACAACCTCTACCACACACAGCACAGCCTTTCAAAAGCAGCTCCAGTGCATCAGTGAGCTCCAGAAAATAGCCAACCAACAAGTACTCCCACTTTGATGCCGCAAAGAGCCTCTCTTCCAGTAATTAACACAGTCAAATTTGTTAACCACGTTATGAAAGACTCAGAAGAGTATCACTCATCACTAGTCTACATTTTCTTCTTTCATTTGCTCTTTAATATGAAGTCAGGTTCATATTTTCTACTTCACACTGGCAAGCACTTGGTTTAATGCTTCAATCTGCATGGGACAACAGCAGAGGTCTAGATACCAAAGCTTATTTAGAGCTCAAATCATACTCATGGCTAATTCCCCTGAAATTCTTTGGCATATACCACAAGACATGGGTGTATAACCAGTACTATTCTGCTGACTGGATTTAAACTCTTACTGAAATTTAAATTGCAGTTGCCTGGAGTCAAAGCTTTCTTAAGTCTCTTAAATCCTTCTCTGACAGAAAGCCATTAGTTCACTTAGTTCTTACTACATGGTCTGTGTTCCCACTGTTGCCCTTTCACATCTCTCTCTCAGCCCTACTGACTGGCAAGTTTCTTGCTTTTGATGTGTAAGACTTTAAGGTCTTAATGCATTTGGCAAATCAGTTCTCAGCCCTCTGTCTTAAAAGACTTCTATTCTGCTCACTCTAGTTTTTCTTAATTCAATAGTTTCTACTTCTTGGAGATCATCTTCTTGGTCTATGTCCTTCTGGATAAGAATCAATGCTATACTCACAGTCAGCATGTGACAGCACAACCACTGTAATTTTACCTTCTGGTTTACACCTGAGGAAACTTCTCAAAACAGATGCTTTTTTAAAACTTATGTTACAGTAGTTTGCATTTTTGTAAACATCTTTGCTCAGATAAAGTTATTGGAACACTGTCACAAAAAGCCCCAACTCTCATGTATATAAAACAAGATCTCGTATGCTGTTCATGACTAATCCCAGTATAACTTCTTAATAGCTGAAAGAATAATGCAGTGTCTGAAAAAAAACCAGATAACTGTGGAATAGTCAGCCAGCCAATACAGCACTAGTTTTTACTTAAGTATTTTGTCCACGTACCCTCTATGATTTTCATAAGCACTTTTTAAGCAAGGACTGTGACAGTATTTTAATCATTATGAACACAATCTCCATCTGCAGCACATGATATCAGCACATGCAGACATAAGTAACATCCTAACTTTTTTTCTTTTAGAACTTCCCTCAACATACAGACAAGTAAGTCTTCCCAGTTTCTTTCTAGCTTCTTAAAGAATTTGGATTCTCAACAGCATCACAGCACCTAGCAATCTCCTGTAGCATTTTAAGATGCCTACTGTATTATTTTGCTAGGAAACGTAGGCCTTTTAATCAACTTTTTCACAAGACAGCTTTAATGTATTTATAGAAATACTGGGAAAGAAACTTGTTGGTAAGCTATAACTGTACTCTTACCTAATACAAAATGGCAAAGATTAGAACACAGGAATGAAGAAGAGAGGCTACTTGTACTTGCTACATTATTCAGGTTGCTAATTTTAACAGCCTGGAGGAACCTACCATTTACTGATGTTATTACTGCTACACACAGCAAGCATCTGCTGCTTACAGGCTGAACTACTGCAACAAAATTAATACCTTCTGTTTATCAAAAAATTATCCCTTCTACGCTTTAAGGAAAGGCAGCCACTCTTCTGGCCTCTAGGTTAAAATAACACTCAGGTGACATTCTCAGACTTTTGCAATGTTTTTCCTCAAATGCAGGTTTCTAAGAAAGGAGATCATCCATTTTACTGATTTACTGCAAACATAATTATACATAAGGTTGACTTATTACTTCAAGGGCTAACTTAAATGCAGTGAAACAAAATTCTCAATCATTATCAACAAATTAGAAGGTAAATTAAAACCTACAGAGACTTTGCTCCCTCAAGTAAGCATCTGGTTCCTTTCCAACATGACTACACTACTAAGCACATTAATTTATTCTAAAGGAACAGTACGAACATGATTGCATCTTTTATGTGGAACAACTAACATTTTTAAAAACATATTCTTTACTTACTAAAATGAGTATTTTTCTAGCTGAAGGCTTACATATCATCCAAGTGTGCTTATAAAAGGAAAGAATAGATGCCACAGAGCATGGGAGTCTAATACTAGAGAGGCATAGAAAATGGAGGTAAAGAAATGGGGAGGTACACACGGCATCTCAAAAGAATCTGTTGAAATAAAGGTTACAAGTTTTAGAATACATTCCTTCAATGAAGCAGGAATTCC